AGTTGTAAGAATTAACCTATCAGTCAAATATGAGGAGAATATTCGACTGTGATTAATCAATTCTTACAACTACAACCACTTACAACTACGCTTACACAATTGTAGAATGAACTTAATGTAAAATGGGCTTTTTACGGTCTTACGATTACGACTACGACTTTCATGTGCGATGGTCTTTAGATTTCTCTCTGGTAATACCAGAGAAAAACCTCAGAGAGGTCATGCCAACCTTTTTCTTCTTCTTTTTCTTCCTATCCCATTGGTTGGCTTCCGATCTCACTCCTTTTTCCTGTTAGGACCATGGCACACAAAAAAACTTAAGCAGTAAAATGTAAACAGTAAGCGAATTGACCAATCACAGTAGAGTCCATAAGGCCATAACATAAGCAGTAGCGAATCCAACATGTTGATTTCCTTACTGCTTACGTCTTACTGCTTTAAGTTTTTTGTGTGCCAGGGCCCTTACGGACTCTACTGTGATTGATCAATTCGCTTACTGCTTACGTTTTATCGCTTAAGTTTTTTGTGTGCCATGGCCTTTACCGTCGAAATCGTCCGTACACTACCGCCAGTACATCTATTTTCGGTGTGGGAACTACATGTCTACATCCATTTTCTGACACTGTCGATAAAATCGTATCGTTGAAAGTAGATATGGTTCGTATCTGTACTACATCCACAGGATTGAAGCGTGCCGACTATCCCTCCATATGGACAGTGTCAGAAAATGGATGTAGTCGTATAGTTCTCAAACAAATAATGGATGTACTGGCGGTAGTGTACGGGCGATTTCGACGATAACAGAAAAAAGATCGTCACGACCTTTCCCTCTGTATTAGGGTTATCAACTCTTGGTCGCACGAAAAGAGTACATTGATATGCAAAAAGAGTATACTTTCTAAAAAAAAAAAAGAAAAAAAGATGACGAACTTTTTTATTTTAAATGCTGGCATTCAATAAAATGACATTTTTAGAATTTTTATTAACAACGTCTATTCAGTCTTCATAAAGTTACGAATAAATATGTTTCTTTATATTTTACTTCCAGATTTTTTAATGTTAATGTTAATAAAATTGAGAAAATAAAATTGATTCATGTATTTAACATATTTTGCTATTTATAAGTTTCTTCAACAAATATATATAACCAAATCTCTATCAAAACCTCTATATAATATGTAAATAAATATTTATATTTTACATAATGGCCAAAGCCTTAGTACAAGCCAAGCAAAACTTTTTTGTAAAGTAATAAATGTAAATATTAAATAATAATTTTTTAAATTTCGTCTCATTTCTCAAAATAGAGTACAATAAGTAAAAAGTAAGAGTACGCTGTTTTCCGACTTTGAAAAGAGTACATGTACTCTTAAAAGAATACGGTACTCTGTATACTAATCTAATAATGTAAAAGTGAGACATCTCAATTGATAAATGTATATTTTATCAAATAGATAAAATGTATTGAAAATTTTAATACGTTTCTGTATTAAGCCCATTCTACATTAGACGCAAGCCGATCGCAAGTTTGTGACAGCCAATCTGAAAGTTGCATTTTGAAATCAACGCTTCAGATTGACTGTCGTAATAAACTTGCGATAGCTTGCGTCTAATGTAAAATGGGCTTTATAGATTTACAACGGTTTTAACGTGCATTGAGTATACACCATTTCCGCCAATGAAAAACGCTTATTAGATTCTAAAGGCCCACCATCATCCAGTAATGCATATTTGGCCCCGCGCAACTCAGAGAGTCAGTCCTTCCACTTTTGTTCTACCAATAAGCCGCGTTCGGCTAGTAGAGAGCGGCGTCAATTGATGGAGCAAAAGTGAAAGGGCTAAGGCAGGAATCCATAGTCCGTTCTTAATCTCAAGACAATCTCAAGCAATATCTTAAGATGTTAATACGGCTTTCTGATTGGTTCATAACATCTCAAACACTAGCTTAAGACCATCTCAAATCTTGAGCAACGTCTATGGATTCCACCCTAATTCTTTGAGTTGCTAATTCTCTGGGTCAAATATGCATTACTGCCACCATCCCCGCCAAACAATTTCATCGGCGGTCCTCTTTTCTTTATAAATATATTATTGTTAATTTACTTTATAAATATATTAACTTTATAATATTAAATTTATAATATAATATTGTTAATTATTAACTTGCGAATATATAAAACTTATTAATATTACATACATTTTAATTACATGAAAATAATCACCGTTAAATCATAATATAGATATACATATATTCTACGAGAAAATTATTTATTATAAAGAATAAAATGTTAAATATGGAACACAGAACTTCGAATGAATATTTTTTAGAAAAATAATCTTATCTATTATACGATACATACAATTAATTATTCTGTTATTGAAAATACATATAACCTTACAGTTTGTTTTCACGTCACGTATTTGTTATGAGTTGTTGATGTCATCGTCAGTATTCGACAAATTCTCGACAAGTAAGCTGATTGAGGAAACATTTGCCTTTTGCTAACAGCGGCCAGTTATTAAAGGTAAATTTCTACTAAAAACAGTCAGACATTTTTAAATAAAAGGTAACGGATAAGAAACATCTTTAGCCCTTCTTTTTAAAGATAGATATATAACAAAATATATTTTTTAAATAATGCAAATGTACGAATGCAGCACTATTTCTTCAAATTTCTAATTTTTTTCAATTCTGAAAGAACAAATGTATTTTAAAAAGAAATAATTTCTTTTAAATAAAGTAGAAATTCATTTGATTCTAAAAAATATAAATTTAAATAAAGATGAACAGGCCAATACAAACTAGTAAAAGCTTTATTTTCGCGTATTTATAATTTGGTTGAAAGAAACTAAATACAGCTTTTAGTTAATATTTTTTTTCCGTTAATATTATATTAATACGCGGATATCTGCATTTATAAATTGAATTATTTATTCTTAATTAAATTTTAGGCATAGGTATTTATTTGTATGTCATAGTTGGCATACATTCTAAATGCGTATTGTATCAATTAGAAATAATTTTAAACAAAAGAATCATTGAACATCAAACAAAAAGTTAATAACAATTTGAAGTAATTGTATCTATGTTATTATTGTAATGTTGAAAAAAGGAAAGAAACGTTTAATATCGCTCATATCATGTTCTATATAATTTTTCGAAATAAATATGTACTTATACATTCAATTTTCATAATCTCTAATCGAACCAGTTAATTTCTAACCCTTTATTCGTGAAATTTATTTGTTTCAAACAAACGAACAAAAAACAAACACTAATTTCCAATATAATGAAATATGTATGTCAAATACAAATTTTTTTAGTCTTTAATAGAATGAATTTGAATATATTTATTGTTTAATAAAATATTATATAATACAATATTAACAAATTATTATTAAAATATCATATATTATGATAAAATATTACGTTAATCTTTTAATTATAAAAATTTGAAAATATTTTATTACATTTGTATTAAAAATAAAAATGTTTATTGATAGAAATCATTTATCAAAAATTTATCTAATAAGATGATATAGCAAAATTCATTTAAACAAGGAATGTACCTTATTATTTAAAAACTATTCTAAGAATCATTAACTAAAATCAAGTACAAATTAAGAAGATATAATTCAACGATGTATAAGTAACTGAAAGAATGCCATAAGATTACAGCTATACCATAAGTCATAATTAAGTCTGGAAAAACTGAAATTCCATCATATTACGTCAGTAATTATGGAATTAATACAATTTGTTACATTGAACAAATTATTAGTTTCATCATATAGGTTTTTTTTAACGAAATTACGAGAATTAGTTTTGTATCTTTTATTGCTTTCTGTTGTATCCATATGTAACATTACAATAGCGGAGACTCTGTTTAGCTCTTCTTGTTTTCTTCCTCTTAAACAAAAAATGTTACAGATACTGGAAATGAGAATGATGGAAATATTAAAAATATTGTTAGGCATTAACCTAATATTCATCTCAGTAACGTTTGCTGCTAACAAGTGGGATGAACCTCTTAATAATCAATTTAAGACAATAAAACCAATAGCCTATAACGTCACCTTAATAATATATAGAAACCAAAGTGATTACAAAAATGAATATATATATGAAATGGTGTTTCATAGGCTAAATATTTATAAATTGTTTGAAAAAATTATTTATAAACGATTAGAAGAAAATAATTTTATTTTCTATGGTGAATCTGCTATATTTTTTGAAGATATTCATGAAACACGTGTATTACGTCTCCATGCAAGCGAACTGGTAATAGATATAATGGCGACAAGAATTCGTTATTTTGCTAATAAAACGTACCATGAGATTGCTCCTAAGAAGCACAACGTACACAAAAAAGAGCAAACTATCGATATTATTTTTGATTATTGTTTCCTACGAGGCATCAATACTTATCAAGTAACTATAAAATTTATCGGGAATGTAACTAATAATAAAGGAGGGCTTGTCAGAACATCTTACATAAACGATAAAGGCAAAAAGTCGTGAGTAGCATAAATCTAATAAATTTAATTACATTTGCTAGATAAAAACTATTTAAAAAACGTTAATAGTTCTACTTTTAAATTTGCATAAATATTTTATACTTATAATTAGTTTAAATAATAATCTAAATTTATATCATTAACATTTTGAAATACAAATATTAACAAACATATAAAATAATTGAGACATAACGGCGTGGTAATTAAATGCGCAATAAGATTTTCAGTAAAAATTTATTTACTTTATACTCTGAAAATCAAAGTATGAAATTAATACAACTTTTACTGGAAATCTTATAATGCGTTAATTACTATCGTTATCATCAATTCTTATATATTGTATCTTATATATTTGTTGACACAGTAGTGTTTCTTAATAAATATAATAAACATATAAGACAACTAATGATAACAGCAATATTTAACGCATTATAAGATTTTCAGTAAAAATTGTATTTACTTTATACTTTGATTTTCGGAATATGAAGTAAATAAATTTTTAACGAAAATCTTATTGCGTATTTAATTACAGCGCCGTTACTGTATTTTGCGCCAAGTATTTATATTCTTAATATTCATATGCCGACAATGATTGAAAATTTAAAAATTTATATTATTAAAATATGTTAAAGATGGTTATTCATAGCTGATTTCCGAGGAGCTGGCGCTCGACGAATATTTCCGTGCTGGGATGAGCCAGATACCAGGACCAGTTTTACTATTTCCATAAAGCATGATCAATATTATAGGGCTTTATCGAATACAGAAGTTACTGACATGTTAAAAGTTAGGCATGGAAAGAGTTGGACACATTTCAAATCAACCGTTCAAATATCTCCTTACCATGTAATGATTGTATTGCACGATCTTAAACATGTTGATGACTCAAACGTGTGGTGTAGAGAACAAGTAAAACAATACATGGAATTTCTACAGTCAATTACTAAAATTGCCATACTTTATTTAAAACTCAAATTTAACGACATAATACATCCACTAACAGTGACCCATGTTGTAATTCCGGGTTTCCTAGACTCAGGCATGCCAAGTTGGGGAATTATCCTTTATAGGTAATACTTTCATATAAAGAAAAGAAATTTGAATCTTCATTTAAAGAAATGCACTCAATGTTATTGACAACATTCAACTAAATTAGTCCTAACATTAAATATTAAATAACGGAAAAACATAACTTAATATAACGTATTTTATAACGAATGTATAGAATAATATATATTTACAGCTCATATTACTTACATTGTATATTGAAAAGATAGATATCATTTATATATCAGACGAAAATTAAATTCGATACATATAATAATAAGACTTTTAACTAAGTTGTTTTATTATTTTTTAGAGAGACAGATATTATCTACGACGAAAAATTACATTTTATTGCTTGGAAATTTGAAGTGGCATTCATGATAGCACGTAAAATCGCACATCAATACATTGGCAATCTCATAGCCCAATCTTCATGGTCTCATCTTTGGTTAAACGAGGGTATTGCTGCATTTTTGGCAATGAAGATAGTCAATCAGGTTGTCCTCTATAAACTTTCTACATCATTAAATAATTAAAAAACTGATTAATAATATAATCTAAAACATAAAAATATATTGAGATGAAATAAAACGCATTCTTAAATTGAGGTAATTTATGGTTGGAGTATAAAAATTTGCGACAAATAATTTGAATGCATGAATAATTTTTATTATAAACTGGAACTTATTTTTTAAATTGCTAATAAATTTTTAAATTAGTAGTAAGAATAGTAAACATTTGTATTTAATAATTGTGAATAATATGCATTATTATACGTTGCGATTAAACAACAGTTTAATTACATTCAATTTTTATCACTTCTAGCAAGTATATCCCCAATTGATGGATTTATTTGTTGTAAAATTTCAACATGAATCTCTCCGTTTGAATGATTATTATAATATGTCTCTCACACACGAAATTGATACCCCATCTGACATTGATTCAATTTTTTCTTTCACTTATTTTGTTAAAGGTAAGAAAAAGAAGATGTAGTTAAATAATTGTCCACAGGAGATATTTAAATATAAAAATGAAAAATATATGCAAAATAAATTATAATCATATTTGTTTATAATTTATTTATAAGAGATGTTCTTGAACTGACTGTACAACCGGGAAAGGAATGATTCTATATGAAAAGATAAGTCGCAAACGTATATAGAATAAGATTTTTTTATAGAGGCTTTGTTTTCGAGCGAATCGATTATACTCGTAGAGTATATATGCCCTTAATTATGTGTCAACTTGATGGGTTTCACTGAGGATCCTTATTTTTCCTCATATTTGTTCTTATTATTGTACCGGGTCAATTAAAAGTACAAAATAAAAACAAGATATTTACGCACATGAATCTTATTACTTTATAAATTGTTGAAAATGTTGTCTGTTCTGTCGAATATATAATTTTGCTCTTTGAAGTAAACTTTTATGAAGGCCATCTAAGATATTCTAATGCTTTAATTTCTAACTTAATTAATCTGTTAGTGAGTCTGTGTAATTCAATTAAATCTGTATTCGGCGAATATTTAAAATCGCTTTCTTCGAAAACAAGGCTTTATGTGAAAAAATTTTATTCTATGTTTTCGATGTATGTTTTCATGCGAATCTCCTTCTTGATTATATTACAAGATTATGAACATATGTTTATTAGTTTTGCTATGATACATTTTTTAATGAGACAAAAAATACGTATGTGTATTAAGAATTCGAATTTTACACTTTTCTATCTAATTAATTACATTTCAAAATTTAAAACCGTATTTAAACTATTTTAAACATACTCTTCAACTCTTTCTATAATAGAGATTATAATTATTGTAGCACCTATCTTTGTACGCTCATTGGATGAAACGCTACCTGAAGAAATACTTGATATAAGTATCGGTGATTATATATCAAAGTAGTAAGTAACAACTGTAATATAATAATTATTTATTATAATCAGATGTAATAACGGATATTATAATTAAAAATTATATAGAAATAAAATACACGAATAAATTGAATAGCCATTTTATATATATTTATAATGCAATCTGTTATAGCCTTTAATGTTAAACTTTATAAATTTAGCAAGTTTAAATCCGTCGATACTCGGATTAACCCTCTCGAAAAGTTTTTTGATGTTATACAATATAATCTAATGATCGAAGAACCTAATACAGAATATATAGACGTAACAAAGATATTCACTCAGTGGACAAAACAAAGGCGCTTTCCCGTGTTGAAGGTGCAGCGAGTACCTCTCCTAAACGAAGTTAATGTACATGTAGTTGAACCAAGCCATGAAAATTTGTCGATATATGTAACTTATATTACACAGGAGAATCCCGATATTACATATGAAGTGTGGCTACAACAGCCATTACTATATTTATATGATATTAACAGTAGCGACTGGATCATTATCAATGTACAACAAGCTGGTGAATATAAATCGATAAATATATGCTTTTATGTTTATCATGTAAATAAGGTTTTACGTACTGTTGCGTATTTAATAATGAAATTTGTTCATTATATACGACAGGATATTATCGTGTTAATTACGATTACGATATTTGGCAAAAACTTGGAAACTATCTAAATTCAGCGGAATACTTTAATATACCTGTCCTCAACCGTGCTCAAATCATAGATGATGCATATTATTTTTTGTCAACAAACAAACTCGATTTCAATCTTTTCAAAACACTCACGTATTATTTATCAAAAGAGATAGATTATATAGCGTGGTATCCTATGTTCAAAATTTTAGAACAAATATCAGGCTTTTTCCCATTTCAACAAAGTTTCGAAGTTAGGGTAAATAATAATAAATTTCATCAGCACAATTAATAATTATTAATATAACTATAAAGGAATTAAAACAGTGAAGTATTTCTTAAACCTATATATGTAACGTAATGCCACTTGTTAATGTAATGATAAATATAAAACTTATTTTATTTATTAATATTTAGGAACACTTTCGGAATATCTTAGATAATGTTTTGAAGAACATTGGATACTTAGACATTGTAGAGGAGGATGAATTTACTAAAAGTTTAAGATTAGAAGCCGCAAGATGGGCATGCACTCTGAATTCTCAGGACTGTACTACTGCTGCCATTTCTAATTTAATACGGTTTTACAAAAACCCAGATCCGTATGAATAATACTTCTTTTAATTAAAATTTTTCTAATCAATCTCAATGTAGAACAAATTATCAAAATATAAAAAAAGAAAGAAATTAAACGGGCAAGGTTTGCGTCAACCATTAACAAGTTTGAGTCGATTTTAATTAATTTGATTATATTTAAAGATTGAGACACATTCATCTAGAAGTGCAGTGTGCCGGCTGTTTCAGCTTGAAGTTTAGAATATTTAAGAACTCTTTAATGTCAACTACACACTACTGATGCTCCGAAATGGAGTCGAAACGTTTGTAATGTAAAGGTGTAATTGATCAATACAGGGTGTTTCCAAATTAAATCGCAAAACTTCGGGAGCGTGTAGAGGAGTAAAAAACTAAGAAAAAAAGTCCTATAGACATATGCTCGTTTTTGCTCCGTTTCAGAGAAATCGAAAAAAAATGTTTACATTTCTTGCCATATCTAGCACCGACATATTTGATTACATTTTCCACTTTCTGTTATGAATTTGTCAGTCGCTCTTTGAAAGCCTTTAACAGTAGATGAATTTTGTCTTTTGCAATATGCCGCGTACGTATTCTAATAGTGAATATGCTGATATGGTTTTTGTATACGGTTTCTGCAACGGTAATGCTTTAAAGGCGGTGCGAGAATATGCACGACGATTTCCAAACAGAAGAGTGCCAAACCGAAGAGTGTTTATGTTGACATTTAATAGATTGCGAGAGACTGGAACATTTTCAATTCGACAAGAAAACAACCGATTTCAAGCAGCGTTACGAAGAGATTTGCAGGCAGGGAATCGTATTTTACAACATTTTGACAATCATCCTGAGACCAGCGTTCGGAATGCGTCGGCTGTATTGGGAGTGTCACCACAAACAATTTGGCGAACTGTAAAAGGAGATAATCGCTATCCCTACCACATTCAAAAAGTGCAAAATTTATTACCTCAAGATCATTGGAACAGATTGAACTTTTGTAACTGGTACCTTCAGACATGCCACAATGATATTTTATTTCCATCTAAAATAATGTGGTCAGATGAGGCAACATTTACCAGAGGTGGAATAATTAATCAAAGGAATTATGGGCTCATCAAAATCCCAGGTCTGTTAGAGAATACAAATTTCAGCAAGAGTTTTCTGTTAATGTCTGGCTTGGAATTTGGAACGACGTTTTAGT